AGCCGGCTCTGGGTGACCCTGCTTGGGCAGGGGGTTGGGCTGGGGGACCCACAGAGGGCCCTTCCAACCCCCACCATTCCATGACCTGCTTTGGGGCAGCAGCAGCCTCCGGGCAGGAACAGCTCTTGCCAGCTCTTCCTTTTAGAGAAGCCAAAACTTCTCACAAAATAATTCATTTGCTGCTGTTGAAAAAAACACATTCGAGTGCATTAACGCGAGGCTGCAGACACATTTTTTCCATCAGCTGCTGGCAGGACTGCCCAGTCCACACGGAGCAGCAGCTTGTGCCGTACAAGCCCAGCCCTGGATGAGCGGGCTCTCACACGGGCTGCTCCGGCAAACCCTTCAGTCCCTACCAAACTCCCAAACCCATCTTCTTCCCACTAAGGCTGTCTTCACAAGCTGTCCCACCGTGACCGGATTGTATAAGCGTGGTCCAAAACTTCAGTCATGGCCAGGAAAAATTAATGGGAAGACCCAACTTTTCGGTCAGCATGCGCAACAGCAAATGGAAAACGCCGTGTCTCAGCTGACAGCTCCCCGTGCCCTTAGGGACAGCGACGCGGTAGCCGGACTTCATTTCTAACGAGGCTGCAGCAAGCCAACCAGGACTCAAAGCAGCGGGTAAGCACGATTTTATTTCCTCTTACTAAGATCAGGGTTTTCTCTTCTTTTGGGCTGAATCAGACAGGCAGACTTTTCTGTTTGCAGGAAGTTTCCTATCCGAGAGTTACTCTCGCAACAGCCAGCAATAATTTTAAACCAAGAGCAGCCAGTGTCCCTTAGATTCATGCTGCTGTTTTTGGAAACACTATTTGGAGATCAAAACTCCTAACTCAAACGTAGTCAGGAGCGACAGTGAAAACACGCATGGCTGTAACGGCGGGTGCTGCACTGGCACCTCTCGACCCCCCTCTCTCCTCGCAGATGCCTGGGCAGATCGGGTTTGCCCCAAATCTCCCCGAGCCGTGGCAGCTCCAAACCGGCGGCCCCCGGGCTCAGGGTGCGAGCCCCCGGAGGAAGCCACGTCAGCAAAAACTATGCTACAAGTAATTGCAAAAAGAAGAAAAGCTCAAGGCGAGCCAAGCCCCTGGTCCATGCCCTTTGAAGAAAGCACTGGAGTTGGACAGCAGATGGAATTTTTGTTCTGTGTTTTGCACAGAGATGTGTGGGGGGTTTAAATGTATATAAATATGTAACATTTATATAGCATTATGTGAAATTTAAATTCTGAATCATGGTCTGAATCACTACGTAGCACTCACGACTGGCACTGCTCCTACGGACGACGTGCTGATCTCTGCTGATCAATGAGTGAGCTTCAGACAACGCATCTGAGCTCCCATTCCCTCGGCAGCGACTGTGTCAGCCGCCAGCCACCAAGAGTACTTCGCTCCCCTACTCCTGGTGCGACAGCTACAGCTGACACCCAGATACAGCAGATTGGTTTGCCTTACGCTGCTGAGCACCAGACGGAAAGACAGAAAGAAGTGGGAAAGATATAGCGAAGGGATATCACACCCAAACCAGAGCTGAAACCCAGACCTGGCAGGCACAGCTTAAAACTTGCCCTTTGCGAGACGCCGCAGAACGGCTTCGTTTCTCAAACGAGCCAGCCCCTCGTGGCGGGGCC